CTCAAAAATAGATTTCCTCCAGCAACAATAGATCCCCTAGCAGCAAGCACCATAGACTCTCCAGCACCCCTTTCCATTACATATATCCAGTGCTGGAGGTGCCAGAACTGTGTCCTCCCACATTCCTGCTAAAAAGAAGCCCTGGAGATCAGGATCAGTTTACTGCCCGGCCCTAGAATGTTTGCTTCACCTGATCACAGACACTCTTTCTTGTAGCTGAAAGGTCAATTAGAACGTTGTATCATGACAGCATTTACTCAAAATCTCAGTAACCAGTTCATAAGAAGAAGCAGTTAGCTATGTCAATTTCCATACTTCTTTAGTACATGTGTCCTTCAAAAGGACTCTGAAAGGCTTGCCCTCCAGAGGATTTACCCCCCTCTTGGCCAGGCCATTTTTTTGCGATACGGCACTGCGCTACTTTAACTGAAAATTGCGCTGTCATGCAACACTGCACCCAAATGAAATGTATGTCCTTTTTTCCCCACAAATAGAGCTTTCTTTCAGTGGTATTAGTGGGGGTAACACATAACTTGCTCCTCTGTGCACTCTTCCCCTCATGAATCACCACTGGACCTTCACAAATGGCACCCGATTGCAGTACAGCCAACTCTGTGGATAAAGCTCGACAACCACAAAGTAGACCATAGTGCAGTAGGCTTCTTTAAAAGGCATGTTTATTAACCTCCCTGGAGGTATTCCCGAGTGTATTCCGAGTGTAGCTCTGGGTAAAGTTTCAGCACCATAAGCGGTAACCCCGAGCTACACTCGGGAATACCTTGCAGCGCTGCTCCGGGATCTCTTCTTCACTTACCTTGTCCTTCACTCCCGCGATGTCCGTCCTGCAGTGTCCCAACCAATGTCCTCCGGCCGATGCCGGCATCTGTCATCTGGGTTCCGTTCCCCGCGACGTCAGGACATACGGGGACGGAAGTGGTGGGAAATTTAAAAATGTGAAAAAGTGACATTCACTAAATACACTTAAATCACATAGTAAAACATTACTGTATCAAAGCATTTCACATACATGTCCCTGAGTGCTTTGTCCTGTGCCCTGCCTGCATTTTTACTGTTCTTTCTGCCTGGAAACTGAGAAACGTCCATGGCGTCCAAAAAGCGTCCCTTTTGGTCAAAAGTGGTTTTAGACCAGCTAGAAAACAGCAATAGTAAATTAGAACCACTGCAGAATTGAGTGATAATGATTCGTGGGGAAATTCATTATCAGACATTGAAAACGATTCTGCGACTTTGCTCAGTGATGTGCAAACGTGGTGCTATATTTCAAATTTCAGTGTTTTTGGTTTGATTATATTATTGAATTACATTTATTACTATATTATTATTATTTTTTTGATGATTTATTAAACTATAATTTATGATTTCGTGTTTCAAATTTTAACATACCCGGGATGTTTACTAGACTCTTGTTCGGACAGATTTCAGTGAGTTATTCCTAAAAATTACAGGCCTACAATAAAAAAAAAAACATACTTCCATGCAAAAAAATTTACCGCTTTGAGCACAGAAATATAGACATAATCATTCTGCTAGGGAGGCTATAGCACTCCACTAATAGGGGAGATGCATTGTTTGACCTGTGTCCACATACAGATCCATGCGAGAAGGTGAGAGTCCACTTGGAAGTCTATGTTCACTGTGATTCACATGTATTGAAGATTTACAGAACTGGGATTTTGGGTGCAATCACCAGCAGGAAGATTTTTCACTTATTTGATTTTTTTGAAGAATTGCATTTTTTTTAATGTTTTATCATCTTTTGGGACTATCAGTCACATTTTTGTTCATATATTTACATGTATTGATTTATGCTAGCAGAGCAACACTTTCATTTGTTTTAGTTTTTCAGGTGGACCTGATCAGACCCTCCATTCTCCTCTATGGTGCTGCTGATGTAAATGGACTTACACCCGTCTACATCCATTCCAATCCGACCCACTAAAAAGAAACGTAAGAGGATCCGTTCTCCTCCATCTGGGTGAATCAGATCAGAGGTCAGTCAGGTGTAAATGGACAGCCATCCATTTACATGCGCCCGCCCACAGTGGGCTGTGTCCATGTCTGCTTTGCATTAGTGGAGTGAACTCAAACCTGTCATCCGTCCACTCCGCAAGTGGATTCACGTTGATTCTGCCCCGTGTGAAAGGGGCCTAAAAAGTTAATTTGGGCCAAGCTTGCCAAACAAACTATTTCCCAACTAATTGCTGCAGATGGTGTCAGTGCTGTATAAACTGTATTTAGCATCAGCTACATAGAGTATGCAACATTGTGTTCTGGCAGTGGTACAGTGACTTTCCATCTTCTGGAATAAAATCAAGTCAGGCTGAGTGCTTCTCAGCCATTCAGAGGACGCCTTGTATTTTTATCAATGAATACAAACAGTTCTCTGATTGGCTGAGGTGGGGAAGTGGTGGGCGACATTACAATTTTCAACCCTGCCATTTAGAGGAATCCTTGTATTTATTGCTAAAAACAAAAGGCTTCCAGTGAATGGCTGAGCCCATTTCAATTTTGTTCGAGCAGCAGAAGGGAAGTCCCCACACTGTTGCTGGAACACAGTGCTGTGTACAGAGTTGCCAGCCGTCAGTAAATTTACGCACAGTTGTAAAAATCAGTGATTTTTTTTCAACTGTTTGTAAATATCAGGGTCTGATCATTTGTCATGCAGTGTTGATTTTAAACCAGGCAAATTATTTGTTATGGGTGTAGCCAGGGGCGGACTGACAACTCATGGGGCCCCCGGGCAATAGGGGATCATGGGACCCCTGTGTCCTAGCCCACACTCAAACCACACCCAAAAAAGCCTATGGAAGGTACCAGGGGCATCTCATGGGGCCCCCTACTGACCCTTGGCCCTCGGGCAATGCCCGAGTGCCTGAATGGCCAGTCCGGCCCTGGCTGTAGCGCTGCCCTTGTGAGGGGTGCTGTGTGATGGCTATCCCTAAGCCTTTCCCTGCACAGCCAGGCAACAGGTATATCTCACACACACTTGCATACAAAGACAATGAATAGTTCATGGGCTTGGTTTTGTTATTTTATTAGGGGAAAATAACTTGGATAGGGAATAAGGATTATGGGATGCCCAGTTTGGCTTGAAACAATGGAAGGTGGACACTTCCCTTCTATGTGCAAATACAGATCCTGGATTGTTATTTTCCTGAAAGCCGTCATTCATTGCAGATCAGTAGCAGCTGCCCTTTATTGGCGAGAAACTAGCAGCCCCTCAAAAATCACTTTAATTCCTGTAGCTACATGCAGAGGAGTATTCTCTCCCCTTATAGAGCTGCTCTCAGCTCCACACCCTGTAAGCACTACTAGCCCTCCTGGCTTCTTGGAAGATCTCTCTGGACAATAATTAGGGATGGAGCCCAGTGCTGTGCTTAGAAAGCTTGCTACGAGTGGCAGTCTTTCCCCTTGTAAATCCTAGTGTGTACTGCTGTACTCACACTGTCCTCCTTGCTCCCTGCTGCTCCAGACCTTGATCCCATCCACGCCTCTCCGCAGAATGTATCCTCCTGAGCCAGCCCGAGACCAGCCTAGAGGCCACCCCCCACCAGACTTAGGGGATCCCTCCTAGGCATGGACAGCCGACCCGACTCCTTTATCAGCCTGACTCTCCCATATTTATAGGCCAGTCCCAGCACTCTACCTGGGCCTCCAAACCTGGGATTGGCTGGACTCCCATGAATATTCAGATTAGGTTACCACCCCTTCGTGCTTACTGACTTCTGGAATGTTCTATAGTCCCCCAGAGTCAGGAGGAGGCGATAGAGCCACAATCTGTTGAGTCATCCAGCTGACCTGCAATAACCCGACCTTAATCACATGACTCACACAACTACCATAAGTCATACACAATGATTTTTCCCACAACACACTACACTATTCTAGTAGCACTCTAGAGGGTGCTACACAGGTATTGTCAGTGTTTCCATACTGTGTTTATACTGTTTAACCACTTTCCATCCTGAGGATTTACCCCCCTTCCTAACCAGGCCTCTTTTTGCTATTTGGCGCTGCACTATTTCAACTGGTAATTGCGCGGTCATGCAATGCTTTACCCAAACAAAATTTACATCCTTTTTTTCACATAAATAGAACTTTCTTTTGGTGGTATTTGATCACTTGTGCGTTTTTTTTTTTTTTTTTTTTGCACTATAAACAAAAAAGGACCCAAAATTTTGAAGAAAAACTATATTTTTTTACTTTTGGCTATAAAAAATATATAGTAAACTCAAAGTTACTCATAAATTTAGGCCAAAATGCATTCTGCTACATTTTTTTGGTAAAAAAAATCCCAATAAGTGTATATCGATTGCTTTGTGTGAAAGTTATAGCTTCTACAAACTATGGTATAGATACTGCAATTTACACCCTTTTTTTGCTATACAGCACTGCACTAGTTTAACTGCGCGGTATGCAATATGGTACATATATGAAATTTATGTCCTTTTTTCACACAAATAGAGCTTTCCTTTTATTTTTGGTGCTATAAACAAACAATGATTTGAAAAAAAAAAACATGTTTTTGAAAAAAAACATTATTTTCTCATTTCTGTCATAAAAAATATCCAAAAAACTCAAATTGCGTCATAAATTTAGGCCAAAATGTATTCTGCTACATGTTTTTGGTTAAAAAATCCCAATAAGTGTATATTGATTGCTTTGTGTGAAAGTTATAGCGTCTACAAACTATGGTATAGATAATGGAATTTACACAGCTTTTACTTTCTGACTGCCGATCACATTTCTTGAGGTGCTAAAATACCAGGACAGTAAAAACATCCCCTCCCATCCCAAATGTCCCCTTTTCAGAAAGTAGACACCCTAAGCTATCTGCTGAGAGGCATATTGAGTCCAGGGAAGATTTATTTGTTTTCCACAAGTTTTTGGAAAATGACAAAAAAAGGTTTTTTTTTTTTACACAAAGTTGTCATTTAAATTATATATTTCTCACACAAGCAGGGGCGGACTGACAACTCATGGGGCCCCTGGGCAATAGGGGATCATGGGGCCCCTATGTCCTTGCCCAAACTCAAAAAAGCCTATGAAAAAGGTACCAGGGGCATCTCATGGGGCCCCCTACTGACCCTGGGCCCTCGGGCAGCGCCCGAGATTCCAAATGGTCAGTCCGCCCCTGCACACAAGCCATGGGTATATGTGGAATTACACCCCAAAATACATTCTGATATTTCTACTGAGTATGGGGGGGTACCACATGTGTGAGACTTTTTGGGAGCCTAGCCACATACAGGAGCCTGAAATCCAATGACCGCTTTGAAAGCCTGAAGGTGTGTAACTTCCTCATTACACTTCCTCACTACCCATCACAGTTTTGGAGGCCCTGAAATGCCAGGATAGTACCAAACCCCCCCCCAAACAAACCCTTTTTGGAAAGTAGACACCCCAAGGAATTTAAAAAGAGGCATAGTGAGTATTTTGCAGATCTCATTTTTTCTTGCAAGGTTTTGAAATATAAAAAAAGAAGAGAAAAAATGTTTTTGTTGTCTTTCTTCATTTTCCATAAACTTGTGGCAACAAACGAGGTCTGCAAAATACTCACCATGCTTCTTATCAAATTCCTTGGGGTGTCTACATTCCAAAAAGGGGTCATTTGGGTGGTTTTGGTGCTATCCTGGGATTTCAGGGCCTCCGAAACTGTGATGGGTAGTCAGGAAGTGTAATGAGGAAGTAAAGACCTTTAAAAGCCTGAAGGTGCTTATTGGATTTTGGGGTCCTGTACTTGGCTAGACTGCCAAAAAGTTACTCACATGTGGTACCCCCATACTTGGGAGAAGTAGCAGAATGTATTTTGGGGAGTAATTCCAGATATACCCATGGCATGTGTGAGCAATAAATAATTTAAAAGACACATTTTGTGTAAAAAAAAATTTTTTTATATTGACTCAACATGCCTCTCAGCAAATAGTTTGGGGTGTCTACTTTCCAAAAAGGGGTCGTTTTGGGGGGTGGGGGCATTTTATGCCTAGCATTAGAAGTTTATGCCACACATCACTCACTCTTCTACCCACCTGAAGATCAAGCCTTTTCTGACCCTTTTTGTCCACTTGAAAACAAATCAGTATTTTATGCTAGGAACCCACAAACATTATATATTTTTTTAAAGCAGACACCCTAGTGAATACAATTGTGGGTGCTGCAATTTTTTATGTCATATAGTACTCGCGCAGCGATTTTTCAAATGCAAATTTTTTGCAAACAATACACTTTTTTTACTTGTAATGCACAAAAACACAATATATTGGCCAATTATTTGGTAAAATATAAAAGATGATGCTGCTATGCCGAGTAAATGGACACCAAACATGACATGCTTTAAAACTGCGCACGCCCCATACAATGGCGACAAACTGCATACATTTTTAATATCCATAGGCAACACTTTAAAAGTCTTTACAAGCTACCATTTTAGATTTACAGAGGAGGTCTAGTGTTAGAATGACTGCCTTTGATCTGACGTTTGTGGCGATACCTCACATGCATGGTGCAACTGCTGTTTACATACCGTCACAGGGTCAACGCTCGCGCACACACCTGTGTGTTATTTTGATTTTTTTTATTATTTTTATACTGTCACTTTCATGGTTTTTTTAATCACTTTTAATGCTATCACAGGGAGTGCAAATATCCCCTAAAACTTCAATGGGCATTGTCATATACTCTTTTTTGAGAAATCTGGGGTCTATCAGACTCTAGATATCTCCTCTGCCCTTACATTATCTAATCTCACCAAGATCAGTGTGATCAGATGCTTTCCCAATTTACAAATGGCGCTGTTTATATCCTGCAAAACTAAAGTGATGAAATGCTCGTAGCTTCTGATTTCTTAGACTATAGAGATGATTGGCACCATTCTGGTCTCCAATCAGCTCTATGGTGATCTGACAGAAACACTGGCAGCATTCCCAGGTTCCACCGATGGCGCAGGACTGCCCAAGAAGGCCGTAAAAGGCAGTGGGGGAGCGGGGCATCTTCTCCCACTGCTTGTAAAAGCAATCCTGCAGCTAATTAGCCACTAGGATTGCTTTTACATGAAAGCCTATCGCCAGCTAAAAAAACAAAACCAGGATGATGCCTGCAGCTGTAGGGATCATCCTGGTATAACCATTCAAAGTCCAGTAATGTACCAGCACGTCGCTGTCCTTGTTGGGTATATATGCTATGTTCTTTTTTTTTTGTATGCAGCCTGTGGGCTGAATGAAAAAAACAAAAAAATCTCTGCCAGAAAAAGTGTGTGGTATGCCCACCATTAGAATATACCGCCCTGCATCCACCCACTTTTAATGGTGGGAACACATTAGGTGGCACGGTGCCACATGCACCAATTCCAAGATTGTACAAATATCTAGATAGTGGCACGCTTGAATACAAATTGTCAACGTATAAGTGGTACCCCATATGGAAAAAGGATGACACCAAGTCCCAAACTATCTTGCTACTACTCCCCATGTAGTCTGGGCATCCGGGGGGCTCCACGTGACTATCTTTTCCCTTGTAAATCCGAAACTTATATGTATAGCCTGTTGCCCTCTCACTGGTCTTCTACATCTTGACCCCATATCTGGCACACTTGCTGGGGAGAAATTGTTTGAATGGAAGGCGGCCAGGACAATTACTGAGGGACTCATCAACGCAGATTTTTTTCTGGGGAGTATAGATATCTGCAAATGTTTGGTTAAGGTGATTTACGAGGGGCCGAATTCTGTGGAGCCGGTCAAATTCAGGGTAACCCTGAGGACGGCACAGTGTATTGTCGCTGAAAATGCATAAAACACATTATACTCTCATATCTATGCCTGGCCATGGCAGCAGAGAACACAGCATATGATGAATCGGGTCTGCAGACCAATACAACCGCAATTCATTTCTTTTAGTAATGCCCATGTTGACGGTTAGGCCCCCAAAAAATTAAATTTGGAAACTGTTATGGGTTTCCATGTGAATAGCCTGGCAAGGTTTGAATTTGGGTTGGCGGCGATAAATTGTTGTGCATATATATTGCTTTGATCCACAATCAATGCATACAGATCTTCCATGAAAAACAGCTCCAAAAAATAAAGGCGAGTAGTTAAATTTGCTGTTTCCACCTGAATTACGGGTTGGGCAGTGAATGGGGGAAGTACGGGTGCTGATTCTGCGAACACTGCGGTTTTGTGTGCAATGTATCAAGTGACAGTGACCTACTGACACTGCACTTGCTGGGGGAGAAGGGGGGTAAGCATAGAGGCTAAATGCAGGCGCTGGCAGGTGCCGGGGCTGATCTTGCTACCGCTGTGTATAGTGCTGATCTTATCAAAGATATTGATCCATTCAGACACTATACTAGAAATGGAGGTTTATTGTATATGAGCATGTTCCTGGCAATCAAGGGGTTAACTGTGATTACTGGTGTACTGATGGGCAATCTGATGCTATCTGGGAGGGGCGGGAAATCCACGGGAGCGCATATCATGTATTTCTGCTATATGGCGGTCAAAAAGCGGTTACAGAAGCGGTTTGCGTTACGGCGCTGCATTACTTTAACTGACAATTGCGTGGTCATGGAGCGCTGCACCCAAATAAAATTTGCGTCCTTTTTTTCCCACGGGCAATCCCATGAATTGAGCTTTCTTTTGGTGGTATTTGATAGCCTGTGCGTTTCTTATTTTTTGCGCTATAAAAAAAAAGGACATATAACTTTCACGTACACCAATTAATTTACACGTATTTGGATTTTATCTAGCAAAGACATGTCGCAGAATACATTTTGGTTGAAATTTGTGACAAAATTTTATTTTTTACTGGACATGTTTAATAGCAAAAAGTAGAAAAATATTGTTTTTTCTCAAAATTGTCGGTCTTTTTTTCATAGCACAAAACATTTAAAAAGGCACAGGTGATCAAATACCACCGAAAGAAAGCTCAATTTGTGGAAAAAAAAGGACGTAAATTTAGTTTGGGTGCAGCGTTGCATGATCACGCAATTGTTAGTTGAAGTAGCACAGCTCCGTAACACAAAAAATGGCCTGGTCAGGAAGGGGGGTAAATCCTCAGGAGGGCAAGTGGTTAATAAGAGTCCTGTCATTTTCAGGTTATCAGTAAAAAATGTGCTCCGTCAGTAAAGATTCCATGTTTTCTCCACAAAATTTTGGAAATGCTCCCCACAATACAGTATGGCAATAACCAATGCCAGATAACAATTTTGTACAATACCAGAAACAGTGAGAGGACCTCTTTCAGTGTCTGAATCCTGAATCTAGGGAGCTCCTAACGCAAGGGGCTGTACTGGAAGCTTACACATCCTTCAGTCTTTCAAGGCTCTCCTCCTGGCCAGTGTTCTAATAAATGTTGGAGCCCAAAGTAACTGCATTGGAGTGCTTAGATTTAAGTGGATCCTGTGGTATAGGGAGTAAATACCCAAACGGTATCCCAAGCCAACATGGCACTTTAAGAAGTGGGTAAGGAATGTATGGCACACGACCTCTCACCACCATGTAGTGTGTTGAAATTTGTAACAAAGCTGTGGCTTGTGACCTCTATCCAACATGCAGTCTGTAACTATGCCTCCTCCTGCTAGCTAGCATCTGGAACCCATGACAGAGGCAACACAAAGTTCAGTATTGGCAGCCTCCCAGAGTACCAGTGACACACCTTTTGTCCAGCTTGCTGGAATTCTCCGACACACCTGTGCCCTCCATGCAGATATAACAGCCCAGTCTCTCTCTAATACCATGATGAACTGTTACAACAGGTAGCTCTCTAACTCAGCAGCCCAGACTCTGGTCACTTCTTACATCCCATGTGAGACTGCCCTGAACCCTAGTTTCTCTTTCCTTTTCCTCCCTCTGCAACCTCTGTCTTGGTGGGACTTGTTGTCCCTTCCAATACTTGGCTTGATAGAGGTTTCTCATGGTAACTACATCCCCCATAGTGGCTCCCAGATATCTTTTTCATTCCCAGTCTGCGTTGCAACCAATCGCAGTGTCCCTTGCAACGTGGGGTGGTGGACAGGGCTAAAAACAGCCAGCAGCCAATCCAAATCCTCCTGGATGGTTGCTAGGGGTGGGTCCTTTCCTTTACCAGCACTAACA